TAGGAGAGAATGTCGAGAGAAAAGAGAGTGAGATTAGAAGAGAGAGGGATACAAGGAGGGAGTTGTACCCTCAAGTCTGTGAGCAAGAAGCTCAACCAGCGGAGCTCCTGTGCCGCCGTGGCACCAGCGTAGATCTCAGCCTCACATTTAGACTGTGTAACAAACGACGAGCGGGTGGACCTGCACAAGATGGCGCCTGTACCAAGACTAAAGCAGTAGCCCTTGGAGGACCTAAGCGTCTCAGCGTCGTTCGCCCATGAAGCGTCTGTGTTCCCTGTAAGGACCACTAGCCTGCGTCCTCCTAGCACTAGCCCCATGCCCAATGTACTTGCTAGATAACGCGAAATCCTCTTAGTGGCCGACCAGCACTGTGGTCGGTGTCTGCCTGTGGCGACAAAGCAAGCCAGGATACTAAGAGGGTATGCGAGATTTGGACGAGTGCAATTCATCAGGTACATGAGGCAACCCACCAGCTCAGCATACGGACCACTAGGCTCTACTGACTCCTTAGGGACTGGAGACCAGAGCCTGTGATCTACTGGAAGAGGTGTGGGCTGTGAGGAGGAGAACTGAAGGCCGAACCTCTAAAGGACCTGGCGCACCAAGTGTGACTGTGTGAGAGTGATGGTGCGCGCTGCTCTGTCCCTGGAGATCTGCAGGCCAAGATAGCGGCGCAACTCTCCTAGGTCAGTACAGGTGTGTCTCCTCAGCAGCTCAGCCTTCACGGAGGCCAGTGCGTCTTTGTCTGTAGTAGCGAAGACCAGGTCGTCTATGTACACAAGGATGTAGAACAGAGTTTGTCCTGAACGAACGAAGAGCGGAGGGTCTGCAGACAACGGGAAGAACTGCAGGTCAGCTAACGTAGCACGCAGCGTATCGTGCGACTCACGGGGTGCCACAGTTGGAGTAAAGACGCAGCACAGGGAGGCCGCGGCGGGCTCACGCAGCTACGACCCATGGGATAAGAACGTCAAGCACATCGACCTTCCGCTCCAAGGGAAACACCGTGGTATAGCGCGTGTAGTCGTCGACAAACACTAGGAAGCCTAGCATTCGCACTGCCGCTGCCGCAGCCGCCTCTGCCACTGCAGCCACTGCATCTGCCGCCACTGTTGCTGCAGCAACCTGCGCTCCCGCTGCCGCTTCCGCTGCCGCCACTGCCGTTGCAGCTGCTTCCCTTGCAGCCGCGACTGCCGCCACTACCCTTGCAGCCGCCGCTGCCACGGCTGCCCTTGCAGCCACCGCTCCGACGCTGCCCTTGCAGCTACCACTGCCGTTGCTGCTACTGCCGTTGCCAGCTAGTCGCCAAATAGCCGCCGCCACTGCAGCCGCCACTGCTGCTGCCTCTGCCAATGCCACTGCCGCCACTACTGCTGCAACTCCCACTTCCGCCGCTACTGCTGCCCCTACCGCTGCAGCCCCTGCCACTGCCGCAACCGCTGCAGCCACTACCACAACCACTGCAGTCACTGCCGCAACTTCTGCAGCCATTGCCGCTGCCACTGCAGCCACTGCCACCACTGTCACTGCTGCAGCTGCTGCCACCACTGCCACTGCTGCCTCTGCCACTGCTGTAGCCGCTACCGCCGCTGCCGCTGCCGCCTCTGCCGCTGCAGCTGTGCTGCCGCCGCTGCCACTCCTGCAGCTGCCACCGCCATTGCCGCTGCTGCCACTGCAACTGCCGCCACTGCTGCTTCCGCCTCTGCAGCTGCAGCCGCCAGGTGCAGCCGCCACTGCCGCCGCTGCCCTTACAACCGCCACTGCCACCGCTGCCCTTGCGGCCGTCACTGCCGCCGCTGCCCTTGTAGCTACTGCTACCGCCGCTGCCCTTGCAGTCGCCACTGCTGCCACTGCCACTGCCGCAGCTGCTGCCGCTACTGCCGCTGCCGCCGCTGCCGCCGCTTGTGCTTCCGCAGCTGCTGCAACCTCCTGCCGCTGCCGCCACTGCCGCTGCCGCCACTGCCGCTGCCGTTGCAACTGCCCGCAGCAGCCGCCACTGCCGACGCTGCCTGTGCAACTGCCACTACTGCCGCCACCCTTACAGCTGCTGCTGCCGCCGCTGCCCCTTGCAGCCACCAATGCCACCATTGCCGCCACTGTCCTTGCAGCTACCGCTCCCACCGCTGCCGCCACAGCCACTGCAGCCACCGCTGCCTCTTCTGTCGCCACTGCAGTCGCCAGCCGCCAGCGGCCGGCTGCCGGCAACCAGCCGCCGACCCCCAGCCGTCAGCCGCCAGCTGCCACCACTTGCGGCCAACCGCCGACCGCCAGTCGCCAGTCGGCCGCCAGCCTCGTGAGTCCTCTGTGCCCTATGGACTGTCATTCGCCCTGTGCCGCCATTCCTAGTGACTCCTACCTAGCTCCTCGGCGCGCTGCTCCTAGTAGCTCCTCTCGCGTGTACTTCCTTCTCGTTTGTTTCCTACTACTATTCACAGCTTCTTGCCTCCTGCTCGTTGCCACTGCTCCGGCCACATCCGCCACTGCTACTACCTCCGCTAGCGCTCCTGTAGCACCTAGTGCCTCCCACTAGTCTCCTCCTTGTTTCTAGAGTTCCTCAGCGCCTCTCTCCTCGGCATGATGGCCTCGTTCCAGTCCGTCCCTCGGCCAGACCGCCGGGCACTTCCCTCCACTCTTCGATTTCTCGCTCATTGTCTACAGTTGGTGAACCCGCACCTAGACTACACGCTCCTAGAGGATCACATTAGTTACCTCCTCGGCTTCTGGCTCCACGACCTCAACATCTGCTTTCGGGCTCTCTGGCCAGTGCCGCAGCTGCAGCAGCAGCAGCGGCAGCAGTGTCGGCAGCGACAGCAGCCGCAGTGGGGTCTTGGGGGTGCTGGGCGAGGTGGAGACTCTGGAGGTGCGGCCTCGGGGCGGTCATTGCCCTAGGGCCAGTGTGGTTTTGCTGGAGGACCGGGGGCCTTGGGGCCTAGGGTTCTAGGTCCCACCACCGTGTGCTAGAGGACAGGCTGCACGAGTTGGCCTAGTTGGCTGCTGCTATTCCCCATCTCTGCTCTATGCTTGTTTTCCCAGAGGGCGACCCAGACGCTCTCGACATCCTTGTTCCGCGCTCTTACGATGAGGGGGTGTCGGGGCCCTAGGCAGCCCAGTGGATACAGGCCATGGAGGTTGAGATGGCATCTTACAGATCCACAGGCACTTACGTCAACGCAGTTCCCCCGCCTGGGGCAAACATAGTCGATGGCATGCGGATCTAGAGGGTGAAGCGCTCACCTGGAGAGCCGCCGAAGTTCAAGACGCATTACGTGGCTAGAGGCTTCAGTCAGCGTGAGGGTGTGGACTTCTTCCAGACCATCTCCCCGACCCCGAAGATGACTATACTACGGGTCCTTCTTCACATAGTCGCGCAGCGTGACTACGAGCTTCACTCACTTGACTTATCTACAACTTTCCTGCAGGGTAGTTTGCACGAGCATATCTACCTCCGGCTCCCTCTAGGCTTCTCTGGATCCTTCCCACCTGAGAACGAGTGGAGCCTGCGTCGTCCTCTCTACGACCTTCGTCAGGCACCCTGTGAGTGGCGCGACATGCTTCGCACCACTCTTGCTGAGCTGCAGTTCTTTCCTTCCTCTGCTGACCCCTCTCTCTCTGTTCGCACGGGTCACACACCGTTCTACATTCTAGTGTACGTAGACGATCTTATCTTAGCTACTCCGGACAGGGTCGCATTGGCCTAAGTGAAGGCCGAGTTACTTAGGAGATACACCTGTACAGACTTGGGGGAGCTGAGGCGCTATCTCGGCTTGGAGATTTCTCGTGGCCATGCTGCTCGCATGATCACACTCTCCCAGTCCCATATGGTGCAGCAGATCCTCCAGAGGTTCAGTCTCCAGTTCTCCTCAGCACAGCCCACCCTTCTGCTTGTGGATCACAAGCTCTCTGCTCCTGTTTCGGCAGAGCCGGTCCAGGCTAGTGGTCCATACACCGAGCTGATGGGGTGTGTTATGTACCTGATGACCTGCACTCGACCAGATCTAGCGTACCCTCTCAGTCTCCTGGCTCGCTTTGTTGCGATAGGCAGGCACTGACCAGTCCACTGGTCAGGAGCCAAGAGGGTACTGCGGTATCTGGCAGGTACATCCGGACTGGGGCTTGTGCTAGGAGGACGGGAGCCAGTGGTGCTCACTGGATACACAGACGCGTCGTGAGCTGACCATATGGAGATGCTCAAGTCGTCTCAGGGCTACTGTTTAAGTCTTGGCGCTGGTGCAATCTTGGAGGTCCACCAAGTTGTCATCTGTAGGTCAGTCTAGTTGTGAGGCAGAGATATACGCTGGGGCTATGTCCGTTCAGGAGCTTCGCTGGCTGACGTTCTTGCTCACTGACTTAGGTGAGCAGCCTAGGTCTGCCCCGGTCCTGTTTGCTGACAACAGGGCCATAATCCTTCTGTGTCAGGAGGCTCCACTTGAGGGCAGGGTGAAGCACATCCAGCTGCGGTACTTCCTGCTGCGTGAGGTGCAGCAGCTCGGCCAGGCTCGAGTGGTACAGTTGGCCTCAGAGGCAAACACCGCTGATATATTCACCAAGGCACCTGCGCCTCGTAACCATAAGCGGTTCTGTACTCAGCTTGGTCTCGTCTCCGTAGCAGCACCACTGCTTGTATCCAGAGTCATACTATACATGCTTGTACTTGTTTTTCTATACCTGCTTGTCTTGCTACACTTGCTGACTGGCCTTGTAGCCTCTTGCCTCAGTGGTCAGACTAGTAGTGCTGCCCTGAGTTGCCTTGTTACCCTCACCAGAGGTCGGACTAGTAGTGCTTCCCTGGTGTACTCTGCCTTTTTTATGAACTGCCACGATCTAGGCTAGGGGGTGTGTTAACAAATAAATTTATATAGCTTAGCTAGGTCATATTTGTTTATAGCCTAGCTAGTTTAGTTCTTAGTGAGTACAGCCCTAGTTTTGTATCCCTGAAATGTTCCGCGTCGTTTGCGGAATACGGGGAAGCCCTTGGTGGCGTCTGATCACCGATCTTAGAGTATTTTTAACCAAGAAAGTTTTGAACCGTACAAAAGCCCTCTGACGTTCTTGTAACACCAAAGAATCTGCCAGGGCGAGCTCAAACTAGTTCCTGGCTGGCCTCGTGGGATCGCGTCTAGGCCTCCACCAAGCGTCACTTGCGCGATCAGCTAGACCGAAGGACCAAGCCGTCGCGCATCCCTTAATTCACCATGGTACGTTTGTAGGTTGTGGTGTGTCCGCACCACGCCCATCATCGCGCCCATTTCGAATCGGCTCAATCACATGCGGCTTACCCTGCCGCTCGTTCTTCCACCGCCTTCGTCTCGATCGTTTCTCGATCCCTTTTTGAAGCGCCTCTCACCGTCGCCACTCCCTTCACCATCGCCCACGTTCCTCTCATCCGCTGTGCCTCTCATCCGCTGTGCCTCTCATCCGCTGTGCCTCTCATCCGCTGTGCCTCGCCTTCGATGATCGCTCTTGTGTTCCGCCTCCCCCGCGTCCCTCACCCCTCCGCTCTTTCCCTCACCCCTCCGCTCTTTCCCTCACCCCTCCGACCCTCATCCGTCGCCCCTCCGCCCGTCATCAATCCAGCGACCGGTTCAGCAAGAGCAGTGAGGTGGAGCACATGCGGCCTTGGCAACAGCCGTTCCCATTCAGCATCGCTGCCCCGTTTCTACCCTTCTCCCTCACCCCTCGTCCCGTCAGCAGCGTCGGCCGCTTCGACATCAGCAGCCAGCTGTGCAACAGGCAGGCTTGGCTGCAGCCGTTCATTTGAACCGTCGCTGCCCGTTTACCCTCCCTTCCCCCTCACCCTCTGCACTCCACCTGGCCAGCGACCGGTCAACCATGAGCAGTCAGCTGCAGCACATGCGGGCTTCTTGACTACAGCCTTTCTTATAGCTCCCCCACTGAATCCTCCGACCCTCCTCGTTTCCCCCCATTCCTCCTCCCTCTGTCAGACCAGCGACTGCTCAACCAAGAGCAGTCAGCTGGAGCACATGCGGGCTTGCTCTTAGCGTTGCTGCTCCCTTCTCTGCCCCTCACCTTGCCTCTCACCTTGCCCTTCGCCTTGCCCCTCCACCCTTCATCAGGCCAGCGATCGGTTCAACATCAGCAGCCAGCTGGAGCACATGCAGGCGAGATACGTGGGCACGGGGCATGCTGACACCGCCAAGTAGTGAGTGGGATAGTAGCGAGTGTGCTTTTATCGAGGAAGACTATAATAGCATGTAGAGCAAGCAGCAGCAGCAGCAGCAGCAGCAGCAGCGGCGGCGGCGGCTCCAACGCCAGCAGTCGGTTGGATCACATGCAAGCAATGTTTCCGGCCACAGGCCATGCAGACACCGCAGCCAAGTAGTGAGCGTGCGTGCCACGAATGAGACAGAGCCTGCCAGTTAACGAGTTGGCTGGTCTTCACGAGCAAGGTAGCCACAGAAAGCCAAGACAACATGGGCTGTGAGTGTGCTTTTGACTCGTGCTGACTGATGGAGGCACATGCTTGGAAGCACGTTTGGCAGGCCAAGTCACGCAGAGCAGCAGGGGCGTGGTCTGGGTGCATCGTGCATGGGGCCTCGCCTTCGCCTCGCCTTCGCCTCACCTTCGCCTCGCCTTCGCCTCGCCTTCGCCTCGCCTTCCTTCCTCCGCTGTATCTTAGCTGCATCCGTTTTGCTCCTTCCTCTCCGTCCCTTCAATGCAGTGAGTGGGCGGCGAACATCCACAGCGACAGCTACGCGTTGTTGTGCATGAGCTGCCAGTTGCTGCTGGCCTTCTTTGCGCCTCCTCACACCTACCTCCCATGCTCATGTTCCTTCCCCTGCATTCCCCCCTTGTGATCCAGCCAGTGGGCAGTGAATATCCTCAGAGGTCAGCTATGCACGGCACATGGTTTCAGGCGCCTCGGAATAAAGCCGTCCTGCGTGCCGTCTCGTTTGTCCTCCCGTTTCTCCCCAGCGAGTGGGCGGTGAACATCCACAGGGTCAGCTACGCCTCGTACTGGCCGTCGTTTCCTATTCTTACGCCTATGCCTTTCCATGTTCCCCCCCCCTTCCCCCCCAAACCGCCCTTGTGATGCAGCGAGTGGGCGGTGAACATCCACAGGGACAGCTACGCGTCGTACGTGGGGCACCACCCATTGCTGGCCTTCTTTGCCGTGGCTGAGAACGAGAGCATTGGACGAGAGCGATACAACTTCATGCAGGTACTGCAGGGGGTGTTGTGGCATGTACAGTGGATACTGTAGGGGGTGTTGTGTTGTAGCACGTACTGTAGCAGGCACTGTAGCATCTACTGTAGCACGTACTGAGGCATGTAGTGGAGCGTGCATTGTAGCGCTGCTGGCCATCTCTGCTGTGGCCGAGAACTAGAGCATTGGAAGAGAGATATTTACAACTGTATGCAGGTACTCTGTAGCGGTTGCTGTAGCATGTACTGTAGCCAGTGCTCTAGTGTGAACTGTTGCAGATAATGTAGCTGGCATGGTGGCAGGGTCTGAGCAGACACTGTAGCTGGTGCTGGCATGAATGAGTGCTTGACTCTCTTCTCCATCTCCTCCCTCCCCCATGCCCTTGACTTCATCTCCTCCCTCCCCCATGCCCTTGACTTCATCTCCTCCCTCCCCCATGCCCTTGACTTCATCTCCTCCCTCCCCCATGCCCTTGACTTCATCTCCTCTCTCCCCCATGCCCTTGACTTCATCTCCTCCCTCCCCCATGCCCTTGACTTCATCTCCTCCTCGCTCTCCCATGCGCCCGTCTCCCCTTCCCAGCGCATGCTGCTTCCATGTGGGCTGCCGCCGGACCGGGATGAGGAGTGAGGAGGAGACTGGAACCGATTGGCGGCTTTTGCTAAATTGCAGTTTCTGCTGCAAGAGACCGGAGACGCTCCTGTATTACTGTGCAAGCTTTTGCATACACCTGGCAGAGTTGCTAAGGGGAAAGAAGACGAAACTGCTAGTCACTGACATCTTTCTCCCAACTGTACAAAATTGTTTTTGTATGTTCAGCTCTACACTATCGTCAGCAGCAGCAAGTGTGTTCAGTGCTCACCTCACCACATTTTATGATTCCAGTGTTCAATCATGCAGCGCCATTGGATGGAAACGTTAGAATTGCATTGATGAAATGAAATAGCGAAGTAAACATAAGGCACACATGAAACAAGCATCCTAGATCTCGTCTCGTCCTCCTGCACTCTCTTCGTGCTTCTCTCTCTCCTCTCGCTACTCTTTCTCCCTCCCCCCATGAGCGAAGAAAGAGTAGCGACAGATGAGAGGGCAGAAGATGACAAAGAGTAGGAGGAGACGCAACTAGGAAGGGTGCATGGTTGGCAAGATGCCAACCTTTGAATACTTGCGCAGCCACAGCAGCTAGGAAGGAACCACCGCCTGAAGAAAATGACCGCCACGAGAGCACACCCCTTGAACAGTGTCGGATCCACAACCACCCACCACTTGCCGTGCTTCTGCCCGTCCTCCCCCCTCCCCCCCGTCCCCTCCCCCTCTTCTCCCCCCTCCCCGCCTAAGGCAGTTGCATCCTGTTGACCCCATGCACAACAACGAACTTGCCCTTGAACAGAGTCGGATCCACAACCACGGACCACTTGCCGCGCTTCTGCCCGTCCTGCCCGAGCGCGACCACCCCGCCACTGCGGGTCTCCTTGACCGTCAGAGCCGTCCCGTCGTGCACCGTGGTGAAGGTGGCCCCGGGCGCCTTGATGTCCTCCATAGTGAGGTACCCGTCAAGCACGTTCATGAGCCCCAGGGCCTCGTACTGCTCGCCCTCCGCCTCGTTGGTGGGGATCTTGCGCACGCCCGCACCGATGATGGCAGCATTGGTTGGTAGGAGAAGGGTCTTGTTCACCACGTCACTGAAGTCAAAGTCTTCGGGAAAATCGTCTGTTGGTAGGTACAAGGAGAGGAGAAATAATGGAAGCCGAGGGGTGGGGAAAAGAGAACAATCATGAATCATGAGGAACAGCGCCCCCAGGGCCTCGTACTGCTCCCCCTCCGCCTCGTTCGTGGGGATCTTGCGCTCGCCCGCGCCCACATGATGTCAGCATTGGTGGGCAGCAGGAGCGTCTTGTTCACCACGTTGGTAAAGTCAAAGTCCTCGGGAAAATCATCTGTGGAACGAACAAAAGAAAGGTACGGATGGTTTTTTTTTCCCGGAAGGTCACTGCGTTGGTGGGTAAGAGGAGCGTCCTGTTCACCAAGTCGAAATCGTGGGGGAAATTGTCTGCGGGTGCAACGACCAGAAGCGAGATAGGATTGAGAAAGGAAGGGCGATGGGATTACCACGATGGCGGGCAGCAGGAGCGTCCTGTTCACCACGTCGCCGCGTCAGAGAAATCGCTTGCGGACCAAAGGGGTCAGAGAAAGACAGAAAATGAAATCACGGAGGGGGACGGGTGGGGTGGGGGGAGAGGGAGAGGCGGAAGGCGGGATCCGCTCACCTTGGCGGGAGAGCAGGATGCTGGCGACGCGGCGGATGAGCGAGTACTTGGGGCGGAACCTGAGCGCGCGCTTGAGCCCCTGAAGCTCCGCCACCACCTCCGCCTTGGGCGGGCCCTGCGCCGCCGCCAGGGACGCGGCGGCCAGCAGCAGCGCGACGAGCATGGGCAATGCGAGCGACAGCTTAAGCGCAGCCATGATAATACGCGTTATGAGGCGCTTCGGTAATACTAGTAGAGGGGAAATCAGGCAGAAGCGGATGGAGGAGAATGCACGAGCAGCAAGTGCAGGACAGTTTCGAGGGTGAATGGTGAAGGCGAGAGCTGGTGAGGAACGGTCTGGCCATGCCTGCCTCTTAAATCCTATTTATGGGGCAGATGCCTCTCCCATGTCTGCGGAGTGCGATGGCAATGGCGGCTCGGGTCGGGTCGAAGCAAATGCCACCGCCACCAATCCGCGCGCCTCGATGCTGGAGAATTGAGGCGCGCTTGTCCTCTTCCGAAACTCATGCACAGTGCGGCGCGGAGCATAGAAAAAGGCCGATGACTGTCCACTAGCCATGGCATGTACTGTAGCGCATGTCTGCCTGGAGCAATGCTGCCTGGGCACAAGCTGCCTTGGCACAACCTCTGCCAAGTCACCCCCCCATGTCTTCAGCGTGGCGGGCGGGTGAGCTCAGATGTCACCACCGACATTCCATGCGCGTGGGCACTGCACTGCTCTCGCCACCATAGCTATGGCATCACGCACGCGCCGAAGACAAACGCGCTGCCTCTCGGCTCTAGAAGTGAATGTTAACCAGGGGCTAGTGGGGTAGAGCAGGGGCGACGCGACAGCTCTCCACAAACCTTGATTGGCAACCGCACACCTAGGTTTGAAATGCGAAGCTCAGCCGCAGCGGTGGTAGCCTATTCGGTAGCTTCATTCTGCAGGTGCTCCTCCGAAGTGTACCCAACACGGATTCATAAATAACCTACCGGTATACGTATAACAAACTTCGTGAGCCAACAAATGGATTTCCAGCTCCAATTAGGATCAAGCTAACATTTCCTAACAAATGCTACATATGTCCACACACACACCACCTACCAGTCCAACATCATTAATTCAGGAGAAGTCATTCAAGAAATGATGGAGAATGAAAGGCTTTTTAGTGTGTTGCCTCCAATACACTTCAAGGCAGGGGACAGGAATGACACAAAATGGGCATAGATCAGCAAAATAAAACCCACTAGGGCGGTCGTATGCAAATGACCGCAGTCCCATCTTCCTACACAACGTGATTGCTGAGTGAACCAGCTGCACCACAGCTTCCAGTTATCTCAAAGTGTAGGACCAGCAGGTTCTCTCACCAAGCCACACCTTCTAAGCACCATCCCTCTCCGAATTCCAGGAGCTAAACTTGTAGACTTCCCAGCAGCACCCGAACAACCCACTTGCATGTGGACCAGTTTAGGCTTCTGCGGCTGCTGGTTCCTTTTTGGAAGCATCCTCGAAGTTCTCTCCCTCGACCAGCTCTGGCACCTCATCATCATCCTCAGCAGCAGCCCCAGCGGCAGCAGCAGCCTCACCCGCCTTCTGATACTCCTGAGCAATCTTTTTCAGTCCGGCCAAGTTGTCAGGGCCTGAACAAACAGGGGAGGAGGTTGCTTTGGAACGAATGCTTTGGAGACTAGAACGCGGAAGTGAAATGAAGTGAAGCAGCTGATCCTAGTATGCACAGACTAATCTGTATTCATCACGGCATTCATCCTGATGCACAGTATGTCATTTCGTTACAGAGAAATTGCCCTCACTTACCAAGCTGGTTGATGATGCCAGGCAGCAATTCTTGGAGATCTGGAAAGCCGAAAAAAACAGACATAGCACTCCGCACCCGTTAGACGTGAGAATACGGTGTGCGAGACAAAAACATAGGGGAGACAACAGGGAGAATCGCGAGGAATGCAAACATGCAACTTACTCTTCTCCCGCGGGACGCCACTAACAACCCATGTGTTTGCTCCGATCGACGCTTGCACTGTAAATGAAAAGATTGACGGGACGGTCACACAAGACAGGACAGAAAGTGGCAAATCAGGCCAGGATTCAATAGCAGAAAGGCAAACTGGAAACGACCGTTGAATTGGAAGAGAACTAACAAGCATGCATGGCTTCATAAATGTTAAAAAACAACCAAAAAAAGGCTGGACAGTAGTAAAATGGCATGGTCGTACCCTTAGGGTTGGAGAAGTGGAGGACGGTGTCGTCTTTGAAGATGTTGACCTCCTCGATTCCAGGAATCGTGTTCACTCCCAGGCGCTTCAGCGTGCTTGATAGCCTCTTGTCGTCGGTCGTCGTCGTCTTGTGAGCAGCCTTTTTCTTCCTGATACAAATGAGGAACGAACAAGAGTGCACATGCCCCGAGTTAGCAACGCATGCAACAACAACACAGAACAGTAAGACAACCCCAACAATACGCCGACTTCACGCGTCCGGCCTAGTACTGCTTCGTTGAAGTTTCGATGGCGACTGCGAACGGTTCTTCGAAAATCCTCTACTCTCGATGCCTCTATGGATCGTCAAAAGGAGGAAACTACACCTGGTGTAAGAATAAAACCCTCACACGATGAACTAGTGAAACAAGATCAATCCCTTCGCAAGTTAATCCTGCTGAAACCAAAACCCCGTCTGAAGCTTTTCGCCTTCTAAAGAGTGGCAGCTCGTGAATCCTACATGCCTCCCGCGCCTTTCGCATCTTGAACCCTAGAAGCCCGTATCACCGTACCTCCTAACAGTGCCCTTGCCGCCGGTACGGACGGCAGTGGCCATCTTCATAAGCTTCTCCCGATCCATCTGAGAGTATAGAAACGGATAGTATAAGCAAGGGAGAAACAACGACGGAGTCCCAAGACCTAAAACAAATTACTAAGCTAGAAGGTCACTCGGATCCCTAAATGTAACTGACGTGTAATGACTCGCGTGAAGCCGTACCTTGCTTACGGGATGGGTTCTAGCGCGTGTAAAACGAGAATGGCCCTGCCTGACCCTAACGCTGCTGAGGTGAGGAATAGGAGAGGGGAAAAGGACTGGGTGCTCGAGCGGAGGGTCAGAAAAGCAAAGCTGACGAGGTTGCCGGGGGAGAAGGGGAGAGAGGAGAGGAGAGGGTAGCAAAGTGAGGAGGATAGAGAGGATAGCAGAAGGCACCCTTACAAGAGCAGCCATCAACAGAATGTGACTTTGACGGAATGACAACAGACAGCCGTCGGATCTTACCATTTTCGACCCCCGCCAAACTTTGAATCGTCCCAGCACATCGATGTAGTAGTTTGTGTTTGGGAGACTAATGTGTGATATCAGGAGACTCAATAATGATGTAGGAACAAAGCCAACTTTCCAGCCAATAGCTATCCGTTCTATTTTGTGACGTGGCCACATGGAACTTCCAAGGAACATATGGATCATCCCCTTCATTTTTCTCCATCCCACTTCAAACCACTCTTCAAATCCCTGTCACCTCTCTCCACCCCGCTTCATTCCGACAGTCACTACACTTTCCTGGTCCCCCAACTCAGTCATGCGCCACACCAGACCCAGTCAGACGAATAGGATGCTAGTTCATAAGATGCTACTTATGCTTTCCAGCTTTCGCTCTACCACAATTTCTCATCTTTCTGATCCGTTGGGTCTAAGACTTCAGGGATCCGCGCCAATAGTTTCCCACTAGCTTCTGGCCATTCCTAACCACAGATTAGGCGAGAATTCCGCCTTCCAATCATGGAGTGCGTCCACGTGCGAACATCGGTCAATACACAACCGCTGCCACCGCTATTATCACCTCCACGTCTGGCCAGTCTAAGGATACCTGACTTCGTCATCCGCTGTCATTCCGGCATCCATTGTCACGCGCCATCCTTATCGTTTCGGCATCGCGTAAGAGTGCCGTCGCGGCGTCGGCAATTGACCATCCGGCGAGCAACGGAAGGGTGGAGTGGTGTATGGAGCACAGCAGATAGTGGCGACTGGACGCAATTAGGCGGGTTTCAAGCGGGCGATCAGGCGGGCAATCAGGCGAATTTCGCGGACAGTGGCCGGTGGGGTCGCAGCTCCGCGGAGTCGCATTCAGCGGCTGGCCGTTCCAGCGGCTTTCCCGATGGCGACACGAATCATTCTCAAGAAAGGCGCTCCCCTGGGAAGTTTCATCCTCTTCCCCCTCCTCCTCCAATTCCCCCGGTCTCTACATCTCATTCCGCATCATTGTCAGCTCACGACGCGTCACCTTCACCTGCTCTGGATCCGACCAGCCTCATGCGCGTCCTCGCGTTATCCATGGCTGCGCGCACCGCCATCGTCGCTGCGGCGGGCTCCTTGAAGGCTGACGCCGCTGGTCCTTCTGCCGCCTCCTTAGAATCTCCGGATCCCAGCGCTTCCTCGCTCAAACATCCTGCGCCTCTCCCACACCAGCCTGCTGCCTCCTTGCAACACCCGGATCCGTTTGTGCCACCCCAGTCGCTCCAAAAACAGCAGCAGCAGCAGCAGCAGCAGCCGCAGCAGCAGCAGCAGCAACAGCAGCAGCAGCAGCAGCAGCAGCAGCAGCAGCAGCAGCAGCAGGAGTACGGAGGCAGGTGGGGAGAAAGGAGGAGGGAGGATGGGTGGGGAACGGCAGGAAGCGGTTACGGTGGATTGGGGTTTACGAGTGGTCCTAACGGGCGGGAAACGGTTACAGCGGGAAGAGGTTCAAAGCAGCAGCAGGCGGGTTTGGGCATGAGAGCGTCCTTTGAGGCGCCTCTAGCTACAGCCACGGGGGTGAGAGCGTCTTTTGAAGTGCCTCAGAACACAGCCGTAGGGGTGAGAGCTTCCTTTGAGGCGCCGCAGAGTACGGCAATGGGCGCGAGAGCGCTACTGGCGCAAAGAATGGGTTGGGACGGGGACGGCAGGGGGAGGGGGCGAGGCAGGGGCGGGCGGACGGGCAGGGAGATGCCGCTAGGCGTGGCTAGTGCGATGAGGGGAAGGGGAGAGGCGCAGGCAGGGGGATGGGGAGGTGGGGGAGGGGAGGTGGAGGGCGGGTGGGGAGGAGCAAGGAGAGGGGGCGGAGGGGAAAGTCTGGGGGGGTGGGATGCGGGGGTGGCGCGAGGGGGAGGGGGGGAAAGGGGAGGGGAAAGGGGAGGGGAGAGGGGAGGGGAGAGGGGGGGAGAGAGGGGGGGAGAAAGGGAAGGGGAGAGGGGAGGAGAGAGGGGGGGAGAAATGGGAGGGGAGAGGGGAGGAGAGAGGGGAGGAGAGAGGGGGGGAGATTGGGTTGCACAGGCGCTAGGAGGGATTGGGGGAAGGGGGAGTGGCAGAAGTGGAGAGCGGAACGGGAGGGAAAGGGAAGAATGGGACTTTAACGATGGGAACTTAACCGATGGGCAAGGCGGCTGGAAGGCGGATAGTGAGGGGGATTGGGAACGGGAAGGAAGGGAGGGATCCCGTGGAGAGAGGGGGGGGAGGTCTGGGCAGGAAGAGGGAGAGGTATGGGAAGAGAGAATGAAGCAACAGGCGGGATGGGGAGGGGAGAAGGCACAATGGAGAGGGGTTGGGCAGCCGAGTGGTGACTATAACGATGGCAGAGATAGAAGGGTGCAGGGACTGGGGAGAATGCAGGGAGAGGGGAGGGATGGTGGCGTTTGGCAGAGCGGAAACACGCCGTCTGATGTGAGGCAGGAGAGCGATGGGATAGAGAAAGAGGGGCAGTGGAGGGGTGATGGGGAGGAATGGAGGGAGGCAGGGGAAGGAGGGAGGGAAGAGAGGGAGCCAGGGGCGAGCTGGCCGGATGGTGACAGCGGGGGAGGACGAGATGGGACGTATGGTGGAGGGTTGTACCGGGGAGGGGAGTACAGGGGAGGTGATTATACGGGAGGTGATGTTAGGAGAGGGGAGGGCGGGAGTGAAGCGCGACGGCGGGCCAGTGCTGGTGAGGAGAGGAGGGGTGAGATATCATGGGAGGGGAAAGGGGAGGACAGAGGGGAGGGCAACGCGAGTGAAAGGGGATGGGATGGGCGAATGGTAGCAGGAGGAAGTGACCAAGAAAGTGGAGAGAGCAGAGGGCCAGTGGGAGAGGAGGAACCTTGGGAGTTCAACGCATTACGGCAGCAGCAGCAGCAGGTGATGATGGGCGGGCAGAGAGGAGTGCAGCAGGAGGCACTAGGGGCAAGGGGTGGTGCTGGCAGCGCTGGTTTTGACAGACGGGCGGTGGAGGCTGGGGAGCAGAATACACGGGCTGGCAGCACAGTCAGGCCAAGTTCATCCTCGCCTGGAAGCGCCACCAGCGCCACCAGCGCCACCAGCGCCACCAGCGCCACCACCAGCAGTAGCAGCAACACCAGCAAGAGCGCCAGCAGCAGCAACGCCACCACAGCCACTCCAGCAGACCCTGGCACATCTCTATCCATGCGCGAGCGCTTCAACCAGTACATGGCCGAGGGGCAGACCCTCCTGCAGGAGGGCCGCGGGGGGCTACAGGGCCGCATCGAGATCGGCATGGCAGAGGCGTTCCTGGAGCGCGCCACTGCGCTCTTTGAGCGCGCGTGCCAGCTGGACCCGGTCAGCGTGGTGGCCGTGGGGCAGCTGGGCAACGCACTGCTGGCGCATGGGGAGGTGAAGCTGCGGACGGTGCAGCTGCTAAGGGCGCAGTCGCCCCTGGCAGGACTGCTGGGAGCGGGGGGCGCGGGGGGCGCGGCGGCAGCGGCGGCAACGGCGGGGGAATACAGTCCTGCCGGCAGCAACGGCGGAGGTGGGAGCTCGAGTGCAAACAGCAGGGCTTTGGTGGCAGGAGTTGCAATGGGTGCAGGCAGTGGAGGGGTGTTGACACTGCAGCAGGAGCAGGTGGCGCGGGAGGCGGCGGCAGTGATGGACCGGCTGGCGGACGAGTGCGAGCAGCTGCTGGTGCAGGCCGGCCGGCAGTACCGCCAGGCGCTCTCCATGGACAAGCGGGATGCCAGGGCGCTCTTCAACTGGGGGCTGGCGCTGTGTTACCGGGGGCAGCTCGTTGCGGAGGAGGCGGGGGACAATGAGGTGAGTAACTGATGTCGTTTGAGTGGCCGGCAGCACCGCCAGGCATGGCGCTGTCCATGGACAAAAGGGACGCCCCGGCGCTGTTTAACTGGGGGCTGGTGAGTGCGAGCAGCTGCTGGTGCAGGCAGGCCGGCAGGCAGGCAGTACAGACAGGCACCCAGCATGGACAGGCGGGATGCCAGGGCTCTGTTTAAGTGGGCACAGACTGGCACTTTGCCACCAGGGACAAGTGGTGGCTGAGGAGGCTGCTGACAATGAGGTGAGCTTAGAGGTGGGAGTAGAGAGCAGCTTTTAGGTGAGTTGAGGCAGTTAGCAGTGATGGACCAGCTGGCAGATGAGTGCTTTTGCAGGCAGTGAGGCGGTACCCTCTTCCTCATATTTTCTCCCTTCCACGCATCTCTCTCTCCCACTCCCCACTGCCTACCTTGTCCTGTTGTTCGCTCTCCCAAGCTCCCTCACTCCCCCAGGAGTACGAGGTGCTGGCAGACCGAGACATTCTGTGCAGACCGAGACAGTCTGTGCAGCCTCTCTGTCTATCTCTCCTCCCCTTTTCCTCCAATCCCCATCTCCTCCCCTTTTCCTCCGACCCCCATCTCCTCCCCATTCCTCCGACCCTTATCTCCCCCCAGGAGTACAAGGCGCTAGCGGACCGCATGTTCTGTGCAGCGATTGACAAGTTTGAGGTCATGCTGTCCATGACTGACCGGTGGCATGCCAGTGGTGAGTGCTTAGAACACGGGCATGCGCACATGCTTGGCCCCTCCATAAAACCATCGGTATGTTTGATTCCATGGTGTCCGTGACTGACCGGCGGCACGCCAGCGGTGAGTCTTTGGAGGAGTATGGCAGGTGGGTAGCCAGCGGTAAATCCCTTCACATTTCTCCTTGCTCCTTCTGTCGCATCTTCCACTTGTGCCGTTCTCTACTCCTGTCCGAGCCGTCACCTTTCTCCCTCCTCCCTCCTCTTATCTTCACACAATTTCGTCCCCGGTTTGCCCCAACTACTTTCTTCCACCACTTGCCAACAGCGCGCTTGCCAACAGGGCGCTTGCCCGTCTGAACCATTCCTCCCTCGGCCTCCCCTCCTCCCACACATTGCCCCTCCATGTTTTCCCCCCTCCTCTTGTCTCATGCTCCTTCTGAACCCCCTTTCATCCCGCCCTCCCTCCAGCTCTCCTCAACTGGGCTCTCGCCCTCAGAGACCGCTCCCGCCTGCGCCCTCTCTCTTCTGTCTCCCGCCTGCGCTTAACCCAAGAGGCCCTGCAGCTGCTGCGGCAGGCCGCTAAGAGAGACTCTCCGCTAAGCGACGGGTCGCCCAGAGACCCCACGTTCGCAGAAGTGCGGAATGCCATGGTGCTGTGTGAAGCTGAGGTGGCGAAACTGAAGGAGACGGTGGGGAGGGGTGCAGATGGAAGGGGGAGAGGGGGACGGGATATTGGAGGGAGTAGAGCGCTGAGGCCTGGCAATGATAAGAACATGTCAGGTTGGTAGACATGGGAGCTGCTGCATAGCCATCTGCTCTGCAAGGTGATTGATTGTGGTCAAACTGGGCACGTTCAGTGTGTGACAATTGGTGATGGATGTACATCAGGAAAATTGGCATCCGAATTGGCAAGGGCATGGGAGTCTATTGAGTGGCATGGCACATGGTAGAATGAGTCGTCACTGCACACAAAACATTGTTGGGACGATATAGACAAACCTATCCATTTGCTTGAGGTTCCTAGAGCTAACTCTATCATCAGGACTAGGGGCAGGTCATGCCCATATATGCTTAGCTAATTTGGTATTAGGCACTTCACTCCCCCTCATTTATGATACCTTACTAATAGCTCCAACGCGGTGTAGCTTTTTATGAGACCAAGATTGCTCCGACAAGGAGCAGAGCCCAACTCCTTCCTGTCATTGTGCTTCTTCGATCCACCACCTCGGAATTTGGACTCCCAGTACCGCGCTGTATGCGCATCTCAACAAATTGCACCGTTTTAGAGGGAACGAAATCGATGCTTGAGTCCCGTTTTGCCTCCTGATCTGTCTGACAGACGGAGATCCAAGGTCAGCAGAGTTCCAGATTCGCAGACACGGCACAGGCGAACCAGACTCTCAAGCCCACTAGAATCACGCCTTCCTCCCCTAGCTGTGAAACGCGTTGAGCTCGGTTTTGCCAGTGCCATTTCTCATTGGAGTCGTCGCGAGTGTTTGATTGGAATCTGGCCGCTGGTCATAAGCAATCAACGCCATGGGTGAGGTACGCCGATCCGCGTTCTCAGCATCTCCATACAACTCGTCACGCTGTTTGGTGTTTCTCTTGCGAACTGCTCTCATCGGTCCTGAAATTCGGCTGATGTCTGGCAGGTGTCGGCTCCACTGATAAAGAACATCCTGCTACTGGATTCAGAGGGGAAGCGGGTAGCGGTCAAGTACTATTCGGATGACTGGCCGACTCTCGCAGCCAAGTTGAATTTCGAAAAGTCGCTTCTGAGCAAAACGCAACGCGCCAATGCCAGAGCAGAAGGTGTGGTCTTTTCCGCTCGCAGTTCACCTCATCCTTTTCCGACAGAAAGTCAATGTTTATTTCCCGGAAACGATTACCATGCCTCCACCATCCAGTATTTACCTTCTCGTCTCGCTCTACGGCTTCATCGTACCTTTCTTTCCTCCCCGCACTGATTCATGCCTCACTCATTCCAGCGGAGATCGGCATCTTCGACGGGTTCATCGTGGTGTACAAGTTCATCGCGGACCTGCACTTCTACGTCACGGGAGGCGAGGACGAGAACGAGCTCATCCTCTCCACCGTCCTCACCGCCTTCTTCGAGGCCGTCTCGCATCTCCTCAGGTGACTCACTCGCTGATCAGCACACGGTAAGGCAGCTGGCATGTACCAGTGTGTGTTCCGCTGTTCCCCCTCGTCTCTTGTATTCACGTGGCATGTACTAGTGTGTGCTCAATCTGTCTCCTCGCAGTTCATAGTGATGGTCAAGCCACCATTAGCTATTCCTCTGAAGTCCTGAATCCAACGTTCCGCCTTGCGCCGTGCAGGGGCAACGTGGAGAAGAAGACGGTGCTGGAGAACCTCGACCTCGTGCTGCTGTGCCTGGACGAGCTCGTGGACGGCGGGTAGGTTCCACTCTGGGGATGTGCTGGAGGGTAGCAGCCTAGAAGGTGCGCATCATTGAATCTCGACCCCGTGCCGCTGTGCCTGGACGAGCTGGTGGACCGAGGGTGGGTTGCCATCCGGGGATTTGCTATGGTGTGTGAGCCGCTGGCGGACCGGGTTATAGGGTGGATGGTGTGGTAAGATGGTTGATCTTGGTCAGAGTTGCGCAATGGTGGTGGATGGCTGCAGTTGGATTGTACCAGTGCTACTTGAGCAGCCTGTGCGTTTGGAGCTAGCCCGTGCAGGTCTGCTGCTGGAGATGGTGGCATACTTGCACTCTATTCGCTTTCTCCATCTCTTGTGACTGACACTGCCTTCACCCACCTGTGCGATCTCGTGTCCCCTACTGCCGTTGAAACCCTAACTGTGCTTCAGCGTGATTCTGGAGACGGAGCCCACAGTGATCGCCAACAGAGTGGCCATGAGAGGAGCCGACGCCGACCTGCCTCTCTCTGAACAGGTCGGTACACAGTGCGTGGCGTTTAGATGTGGTGAACTGTACATAGTGCGTATAATAGGGCGGTGAGTAGTGCTGGCTCTTGGAACAGGTCAGTCAACAGTGCACGCATCTTCGGCGAGGGCAGTGATGAGTGTGTGGCGCTTGGAACAGGTCAGTAATCAGTGCACGGCTCTTCAGTTGGGTTGGTGAACACAGCGTGCGTTTTGTCTAGGTTTGTGAACGGTGCATAGGTCAGTGAACAGTGCATGGCTTTAAATTAAGGCTGGTGAACAGTTCATGGTTTTTAATCACGATCTGCGAACTGTGGAAGGCTCTTAGACTGAACATTGCATGCGTCTCAGAAAAGATCAGTGCCTGCTACGCTTGCAGTGCAGTTTGGTTGTGATATTTTGACATAGGTGCACATGTTGACCCCACTCGCTTCCCCTCCATCCCACTCCCTCCATACTCCTCCCATCTAGTGCGTGCATTGGCTGTACAAGATATAGTGGCTTTAGCACAAGGCACCTTATGTCAACAAGACTAAAGTTTCCCCCTCTTGACTCTCCCACTCCATCACTCCATCTGCCACATGTGTGTGTGTGCACGCACGTGAGGGGGAGGGGTGTGGGTGTGCGTGTGTATGTGTGCGTGCACATGCGTATGTGTGGTGTTTGTGCGTGTTCTTTTCCCTGTGCCAGACCATCTCCCAAGCATTGGCAACAGCTAAGGATCATCTGGCTCGCTCATTGCTCAAATGACATGTCATTAGTTACATGTTTGCGTCGAAGTTATATAAGCGCCTTCCTATGCGATGATTTGGTCCCATTTACTGATCCATAGATTAACTCCACAATGGACTCTCTCAACTCAAGTGTCTTGTACTATGCCATCTTACGAAAACGCCAGTAAAATTAGTGTACCTTAATGGAACGCGGCATTCCGGGTTCTGGATGTCTGCTTTTAGGGCGTGTCCTAATTGCACGCAAGGCATTTAACCTCCGAACGCATCTCACCTTCCGTTACTGTTATTGTACACTCGCGTTCCACAGCCGTAACGAAACGCGAGTTGGGCAAACTCGCCACTTTTGAGGGCGTGTCCTATGCATTCGTTTTTTCACCAATACCCTACCGAACCGTTTTATAAGCTAATTGAACCTCCCGAAACGTTTTTCACCTTACTCAACCGTTTTCGAACTTACGCTTAGGACGCCCTGAACAAATGCCAAATTCACAGTGCAAAACGTGTATGACGTGGCAATCTGTAACATTCGTATGTCCATTGTGTGCTCGCAACAGAGCGAAGAGTCGTTTCGAAACTGGGCATGAAATCAAGCATGTGTAAGGTCTGTGACGTGCATCGTAAGAATAACGAAACATTTGTCAAGAACTGCAGCCACCCGAAGGAACCATTCTTGTGTTTGAACGAGCTTAGCATGTCTATCAGATTTGTGGCGCGATCGTTACGTACAATGTTACAAATGGCCACTTGGGACGCGCCCTTCGAGAAACACAAGCAGCGGGACTACTCTTCAGGGGCAGGGAGTGCTCCCATCAAATCTTCCATGATCACACAGGGTGACTACTCCACTGCTTTTGTGGCACACTCGTCTCCGGGAATGCGCTTGTTTTTCCAGCACAACTGATAGCATTGCTACCCGCTCTGCCTTCTGCCGTATCTCATGCCTTCCGCCGTATCTCACTCCCCCGTCGCCCTTTTCTTCCGACGCTCCAGTCTCGCATTTCCGCCTTTCGTTACACCCGTTCGACTCACACCCGCGCGCCAGTGTTTACCGAGGCTAGGTGAGACGGGCGACCTAGCTTCTGTCAGGAGCGATCCAGCTTCGGGCACATGGCCTTGCCGAGCCGAGGCTGCGTCGAGAGGTTCGGGAAGAAAACAGGTTCGGGAGGACCGTCCTTCAGGAAAGAAGAGCGGTTCAAAAAGAAGGGACGCCGATTCGGCGGCTATGGACGTCCGGAGGTCAGGTTCGGCAGCGAGGGACGTTCGGAGGCCCGGTTCGGGAAAAAGGGACGTGCGAGAAGAGGTGTTGAAGGGCCTGATCAGCATCGAGGGATGGCGCGTGGTGGTTGCTGCGCCCAGTGCCAGAAACTTGGATGATGCCGTGAGGGGCGGGGGAGGGTGGGAGGTAGTGGGCACGGTGGAGGAGGTGCTCGAGGTGGCCGCCGTGGGGGGTGCTGCTGTTGGGGATGGTGGTCTGGGTGGTGTTGGCGGGGATGATCCCTGGGTGGGTTGGGTTGTGGAAGAGGCGGAGGAGGATGAGGAGGAGGAAGAGGAGGGGGAGGAGGAGGAGGAAGAGGAAGTTGGGGGGTATGAGAAGGACGGCAAGGAGCATGGGTGGAAAGGGGTGGTTGGGCAGCATTGGAAAGGGGGGATGCAGGAGTATGCGCGGGAAGGAATGAAGGCGGTGCAGGGGGAGGGGCTAAGAGGGTATGTGATGCGCGTGCTTGCTGCTGCTCCGTCGGTGACCCACATGCAGCGGCAGGGAGGCAGCTGCGAGAGCAGCAGCCGAGGGGAGGGGGGGGGGAGCAGAGGAGGGGGTGAGAGAGGGAGCACCTATGGGAGGGGCTCGAGTCTTCTACCCGACCGGCACACTGCCATGGGGCACGTGCTGAATGAAGCCATGCTGACGTGGCAGGACAGCATGGAAGCATCCGACTGGGTCCCTTCCCACTCGTCCTCCTCTCCCTCCTCCTCTCCCTCCTCCTCTCCCTCACCCGCCTCCCCCTCTATCTCCCCCGCTCATTCCTCCCCCGTGCCCCCAGTGGAGCACCTCATCCCGCTCGTTGACTCCATTCTCGTCGCAGCCGACCCCCACCAGTCCTCGCTCACCATATCGCCCCCGCCTGGCCTCCTTGACCTGGGCTGGCAGGCCGTCCGCCTGCAGGCGCTCAGGCCGAAGCTGCTGGCATTCAGTGAAGAGATGGCGAGGGTGAAGTGGGGGAAGAAGGGGGAGAGGGGGGAGAGGGGGGATGGGAGCAGGCGAGGAAACCCTTTCCCTATTCCCCCCATGCTGCCAACACAAACCAAACCCACCAAAACCACCACCACCACCCCCATCCTCAAATCTACACCCGCCCCGCCCACCATGCCCACTCTCCAACAGCTCAGAACCGCCGGGCGGCACGACCTCATCGCTGACATCAGCGCGGCTGGCGGACAGCTGGCGGTAGCGCAGGCGTTAGGGTTTGCCGCCCGGCGCCGGCCGACAGGGTTCTGGGAGGATGTGGGGAACGTGGACGAGGAGATAGAGGCGTTTGTGGGGCGGTGCTGGGTGGTGGAGTGCGGTGAGACCATGAGTATTCAAAAGGAGGTGGGGGGACAAGTGGACGGGGGGGGTGGATTTTCTCTGGGGTGGGTACGCCTGCGCAATTTCTTGTCTGGGGAGGCAGTGCATTTGGCGCTGAGAGACAAGGAGATGGTGGGTGAAGCCATGGCTGCTGCTGCTGCTGCTCGTGCTGGCATACTCGCACTTGCTGCTGCTCCTGCTGGTTGTGATGGTGGTGCTGGTGCTGGTGCTGCTGGTGCCGCTGGTGCTGCTGGTGCCGCTGGTACTGGTGCAAAGCCATTGCCATCCTTCTCTGACCTCCTGCAGCGAGCCACTCGTTGGCCCTCCGATGCTGCTGCTGAGGCTATCACTAGCAGCAGTGGCAGCAATGAGTTTGAACCAGATAATCTCCATAGCGGCACAGGCACTAGTGTGTATGAAACAGACACTAGCGGCAGTGGCACAAGTGTGTACAATGACGGGCAAGGGCTCGTGGTGGCGAGCGCAGCAGCCACTGCAGTGATGCCACGTGTCAGGGATGTGCTGGCAGCGAAGCGGTACGATCTGCATCATGCCATTGTGTTACACGGCGGTTACCGCATGGTGGCGCGGGAGCTGGGAAGGGAGAGTGGGTGCTGGGGCGGGCTGGAGAGTGTGGAGGTGCGATGGCAGGGGATGGGCACTCACACTCACACTCACACTCACTCAGGGGGGAGAAGTGAAATCAGCAGCAGAGGAAGTAGTAGCAGTAGCAGCATCACCATCAGCAGCGGATCTGGCAACAGCAGCAGTGGCAGCAGCAGAAGCATGAGGCGAATGGGGCGAGGGGCACGGCAGCAGCAGCTGGAGGAGGCAGCTGGGAAGGTGCGTGCGTTCATGCAGCAGCACGGGCTCTCCACCTTCCCCACCTCCACGCTCATGCTCACTCTAGGCGCGCCCCAAGCGACCACGGCTTTTGAGGAGTCTGCTTCTGAGGCGCCTCTGCAGCACCACGGGCTCTCCACCTCCCCCACCTCCACGCTCATGCTGGCAGCAGGTGCGCCGCAGCACGACGATGGGCACAGCTTGGGAAAGGGGAAGAGCGTGCGGGATGGCGGTGTGGGGACAGAGGGAGGGAATGAGAGTGTGAAAGGGTCGCTTGAGAGAGGAGTGGAGGGTGGGAGAGGACAGGAGTGGCGTTGGGAGGGGCGGTGGGAGGGGCGGGAGCTGGTTGAGGCGGTGAGGAGGAGTGGGGGCCCGGGGGTGGTTGCGGATTACCTGGGAGTGCGGCTGAGCAAGAGAGGCCGCGGGCACTGGGCGGACGTGCATGTGGCTGCTGCTGCCGTGCGCTCCTTCCTCGTGCACCACTGGGGGCTCATGGAGGCGCTGCAGCAGCAGCGGCGGCAGCAGCAGCAGCAGCATGGGTGGGACGAGGAGGAGGAGAGGGAGGTGTGGGAGGAGGCGGTGAGGGGAGGGGAGGTGGAGAGGCAAGGGCGCGTGCTCCCCACTGACGTGCAGCTGGTGGATGCCGGGCGGCTTGACATCCGGTACATTCTGAGGAAGTTTGGACGCGAGGAGATCGCGAGGGCTCTGGGTGCTCCGTGCCTCGTGAGGCATGGTGGCCGGGTGGGCAGAAGGCGAGGGAGAGGGAATGACCTTTGACGTGTGGCTCGTTGCTGCTGGGGGGGAGGACAAGGGGGAAGGAATGACCTTTGACTCGCAGCCCATGGCTGTTGGGCGGTCTGACAAGGAACGGCCCAGAGGAGAGGGAGGGTGGGAGGGAGAAGGAGAGGGAGAAGGAGAGGGAGAAGGAGAGGGAGAAGGAGAGGGAGAAGAAGAGGGAGAAGGAGAAGGAGAAGGAGAGGGAGAAGGAGAGGGAGAAGGAGAGGGAGAAGGAGAGGGAGAAGGAGAGGGAGAAGGAGAGGGAGAAGGAGAGGGAGAAGGAGAGGGAAAAGGTGAGAGAGAGGGCGACGGAGAGAGGAGGGCGAAGGAGGGGGAAGGGGCGAGGTTCATGTGTGGTCTCATGTCATGTAGCAGCTGACCCCGGCCACAGAACTGCTGGCAGGGATGCTTGCTCCGTTGATGTTACAACAGGTGGGTGTTAGCGGTGGGGGAAGGGGCAAGGTGTGGCCGCGAAGCCAAGCCACAAGACTACTGGCGGGGGTGCTTGCTCCTTGACTCTATCTAAGGGGAAAGAGAGGGGCCTGGTAGAGGGGGGGGGAGAGAGGGAGAGGGGGGGCAAGGGAAGGGGGATACGTGTGTGGTTGTACGTTGTGTGCGGGTGCTTTTTCATGTATGTTTCACCATTATCATTTATCCCCCCCCCGGCAACCCCCTGCCATGTGCAGTACCCGGTGCCATAATTCCAGTCACGGTGTGGATCAGTCTTCCTCTCACGCCCTCTCTCTTCCCCTCCCCTACCCCCCTCTCAGTGACCTCCTTTACCTCCTTTCCCATCCCCCTTTCTCTTGCAGTATGCCATTGCCAGCAGCAGCAGCACACCAGCAGCATTTTTGCCCCATAAGCTGCCGCCCCACACCACTCCAGAGATGCAATGATTCACTTTAGCGTAAACACTCCAGAATCATAGCAATCCATCGCTTGATACAACTAGCGGCTGTCCTATGCAAGGCAAGGGCAGGAAGGCTGGCAACTCCACTGGCAGAAACTCGCTCTTGGCGACTTGCCAGCATTCCAGCCCCTCCTGCTCTCTCCTGAAACTTCCACTCTGCTGTCACCCATCTCTCTTGGCACTCCTCTTCAACCACCCCTTTCCATTCCCAACCACCACTCCTGCTTTCCATACCCTCCCGACCTACGATCTTCCCTCCCAATTTGATAGCACAGTTGCATGGCAAGCCAACAGCATCACCAAGATCTCACTACAACCTATTGTCAACATATATTTGTATATGTTATAGGCTAGATAGGTGCATGCTCATAGAAAGTACGACACTTAGGACAAAACCACCTTGTATCACTCATTCTAGTCATTCGTTAACTCTTAGATTGCGCTAGGTCAGGTCCTCCCCGCCCACCAGCGCTTTTGCTCTAGTCCTAGCCCTAGCCGCCCGATGCTAGCCGCTCGCCGCGCACCGCCGCTGGCCGCCCGTCACCTCGTGCCGCCCGTAGCCACCGACCGCATGTAGCCGCTGGCCACCCGTAGCCGCCAGCTGCCTGTCGCCGCCGGCCGCCCGTAGCCCGTTGCCGCGGGCCACCCGTAGCTCGTCGCCGCCGGCCGCCCGTAGCCCATCGTTGCCGGCCGCTCGTAGCCCGTCGCCGCCGGCCGCCTGTAGCCCGTCGCCGCCGGCCGCCCGTAGCCTGTCGCCGCCGGCCGCCGCTCTCCTCCCCTTCCCGCGGCAGTCAGCTACTGCAGCCGTGGTGATGGCGGACTCTGTGCTCCGCCAAGACGCGGAGGGTCGTGCGGTTGATTTTGAGGCGTGGCTCGTCGACCTCCGCCGCCAGCTGACTGGTCAGCACCAGGACGGCTACTCCCTGGCCGTCCATGTCGACGGTAAGCTCCCTTGCCCTGCCGCGCCTGCTGCCCTCCCTCACGCCCCCACGTCTTCTGAGCGTGAGGCCTTTGCCGCTGTTGAGCTTGCCCGTGTTGTCTGGGAGTCGCGCGACGCAGTCACACAACTTGCCATTAGTTACGCCCTCCCCCTTGTCTGAGCGTCCCCGCTTTACCGCCGCAGCAAATGCGAAGGAATCTTTAGATGCAGCCATTGCGCGCTATTCCACTCCCTCCTCCGCCTTTGCCGGCCGTCTGATCCTCCCCATGCTACAGTATTTGCACTACACCTAACCTCATTGCTACACGCCTCCTTGATCGCCTCGCCACTGCCCGCGACCACTTTCTTAGTCAGCACCCCGGTGACCTCACCCTTATCGCCTTTGTCACCGCCCTATTTACGATAGAGACTCGCCAGCGCACTATCGCCCAGTCTTGCGGTACTGCGGCGGTCCATATCTTCCAGGGCTGTGCTCCCTCCCAGTGCACTTACTTTGACATTTCTGTCACACTCGCTCAGACAGCCCCTGCTGCTGAGACCGCCGCTCCGGCCTCATCGCAGCCGCGTCAGGGTAAGGGCCGCGGCCCCAAGGGGGGGCATGGCGGGGGTGGTGAGGGTGGTGGAGGTGGTGGCAGGGACGGTGGTGCAGAGGAGGGGACCGGGGCTGATGCCCCGGAGCAGCAGCAGCAGCAGCCTCAGCAGCAGTCGCAGCAGCAGCAGCAGTCGCCGTTGGGACCCCCGCCGCCGTGGTGGCCTGGCGACGCTGGTGGTGGTGGTCGTGGTGGTGGACCGCGCAGCTCGGTGTCGGGTGGCGGCTCCAGTGTGGTCACCTGCCGGTACCAGCTTCAGTCCGGCCCCCGCCGCGGAACCATCTGTGACTGTCCCGATCACACCGCCGCCCAGTACTACCTCCTCCTCGACGACCTCTTCCGTCTGCGCTTCTGCCCCACGTCGCACCCCCCCGACTAGTACACCGTGGTGCAACGCTGTGTGCCTATCTTTGAGCTTGACATGGATCAGATTAGGTGTGCTATGTATGTCATGTATGCTGATGACTCTACTGTGACTGGACCCTATTACCCGGTGTTGCCTAGAGTAGGTTTGTTAACTGTGTGTAGCCTACAGTAGGTTCCCCTACTGCGTCAGGTGTAGGACCCCCCGCCTTGTTTAGCCTCGGCTCCACTCTAGCTCCTCCGCCTGCAGCGGCTACCGCCACGCTCTCTTTCACGCTAGACTCTGGTGCGTCCACCTGCTTCTTTCGTGACCACACTGCGCTCACACCGCTTGCCACCCCTGCCACTGTAGCGCTTGGGGACCCCTCCTCAGGTCGAGTAGTTGCCTGTAGCTCCACTACCCGTCCCTGTCCAGCAGTTCCCTCGGGCTCTCTTACAGGCTTGCACATCCCCTCGTTCTCCAGGAACCTAGTTGGTGTCGGCTGTCTTCAGGACCTCGGCGTCACCACTGCGTTTCCTGGACACGGGCGGTCTGCAGTCTGTACCGAGGCCGCCACTAGTGCCCCTCTCACAACGTTTCCCCGGGACCCGTTGTCTGGCTTGTTTCTGCTTGACACTGCTTCCCCCCCGGTGAGGGCGTCCCCCCAGGTGCCTGCGTCTACCCAGGTCGCTGCGGCTTGCTCTAGTCAGTCGCTCACCCACCCGTTGCTGCTGTGGCACCAACGCTTGGTAACCCTGCACTCCCCCATATGCGTCACATGTCCCTGCACAGTCGTCTTAGGTCTCGCTGTGTCGCTCCCTGCCCTCCCTCCCTCGCCTGCACCGCCGTGCATGCCCTGCGTCTAGGGCCGGCTGCGCCATGCTCCTCACTCCTCCTCGCTTCCCCCTACTACTGCGCCACTCCAAACCCTGCACCTGGACGTATGGGGCCCAACCCCCATCCATGGGCCGCGTCGAGAGCGCTACTTTCTATTGCTTGTCGACGACTACGCGCGCTACACCACGGTGTTTCCTCTGGAGCGGAAGGCCGATGTGCCTGACGTTCTTATCCCGTGGATCATAGCTGCGCGAGTCCAACGTGGCCTCCCCATGCTGCATCTCCACTCCGACTGTGGTGGCGAGTTTGCCTCCAGTCGGCTTGGCCAATTCTGTCGTGCAGAGGGCATCACCTAGTCTTACACCACGCATGACTCCCCGCGGCAGAATGGGGTCGCTGAGCGACGCATCGATTTGGTCATGGAGGTGGCCCGTACCTTCATGATCCATGCCAGTGCACCCCATTTTCTGTCACCGTTCGTTGTTCACTACGCCGCTCACCAGCTAAACCTGTTATCACACTCCCAGTGGCCGCAGGTATTGCCGACCCTCCTCTGTACCGGGTCCCCTGGTGACGCGTCTGCATTCCACGTCTGGGGCTGCCTTGCTCACGTTCGTGCCTATGGCACGGACCAGCTCACTGCGTGCACCGTCCCTTGTGTCTTCCTTGGTTCCCCCCTCGACGCGTCTGACTGGCACTTTTACCACCCGCCATCTCACCGTTTCTTTCACTCTCGTGACGTCACTTTTGATGAGTCTGTCTCCTTCTACACCCGCTTTCCCAGTGGTTTCTCAGCCCCTGTTCCTGGTTCCCACTCCCCCGGTACCCCTTGCTCCTCTTCCTCCCCATCCTGCCCTGTCGGGTGTGTCTCACGTCACTCCCCTCCCATCGGTTGTCCCGTTAGAGGAGTCAGCTGACTCCGGAGGCCCTGCGGCTCCGTTCTCGCCGCCTGTCTCCGCCCCGGTGTCTTCTTGTTTGCAGCGGCAGCAGCAGCCGCAGTCGCCGCCGCCGCAGCCATAGCCACTGCAGGGGTCTGCAAATTTTGGGGGTGCGGGAGTTGAGGAGGGTGCTCGTCCTGAGTTACTGTCGTGACTTATCCCGGCGGTCCTGGGGGTGGCTCTTGTGCTGGAGAGGGTTCTCGTTCTGGGGGTGCTGGTTCTGGGGGTGCTCGTCCTAGGGTTACTGTCGTGGCATGTCCCGGCGGTCCTGGGGGTGGTATCGGTGCTGGAGAGGGTTCTTGTTCTGTGAGTGTTGGTGTGGAGCGTCCCGGAGGTAGCTGAGGTGTCGGCGCAGAGCAGCCGGAGCAGCAACAGTCCCCGCCGGTGTCCGCCCTGTGCCTCCTCGGTGTTCCCTCCCCTGACCACCCGCCTTCGTCTCCCCCGCCACTGCCTCCCCTGCCTGTCTACGGCCCTATGTTTCCTCTGCCGGACTTGTCTCCAGCTCACCTCGCTCTCCTCCGATTTCTCTACCGTCCACGGGGGACTCATGTGGTGGTGGCCGACTGGCGGCTGGCGGCTGGCGGCCGACTGGTGACTGGCGGCTGGTGGTCGGCGGCTAACCGCGAGTGGTGGCAGCTGGCGGCCTACGGCTGAGGGTCGGCGGCTGGTCGCCGGTGGCAGCTGGAGCCAGCGGTCGGCTGCTGGCGGCTGGCGACTGGTGCTGGCAGCTGGTGGCTGGCTGCTGGAGGCCGAAGCTGATGGTTGGAAAAAGCAGTGGCGATAGGAGCAGCAGCGGCGGCAGCAGCGGCAGCGGCGGTAGCGGCAGCTGCACGGGCAGCGGTGGCAGTGGCGGCTGCAAGGGTAGCGGCGGCAGCGGTGGCTGCAAGGGCAGTGGCGGCAGCGGCAGCTACAAGGGCAGCAGCAGCAGTGGTGGCTGCAAGAGCAGCAAGGGCAGTGGCAGCTGCAAGGGCAGTGGTGGCAGTGGCGGCTGCAAGGTGGCAGCGGGCGGCAGTGGGCAGTAGTAGCTGCGGTAGTGGCAGCGGTAGCTGCAGTGGCAGTGGGCGGCAGCAGCCGGCACTGGCTGCTGGCTGCTTGCAGTGCGCTGTTGGCGGCTGGTGGCTGGCGCTGGCTGCTGGCGCTGGTAAGCCAGTGAGCTGGCTGCTGGTTGCTGGGTGCTGGTGCTGCTGGCTGCTGGCTGCTGGCGCTGCTGGCTGCTGGCTGCTAGTGCTGCTGGCGCTGCTGGTTGCTGGCGCTGGCTGGTGCTGGCGAGCTGGCTAGTGCTGGCTGCTGGCACTAGCGAGCTGGCTTTGGCGAGCTAGCGCTGGCAAGCTGGCTGGCGGCTGCTGGCAACTGCTGGCAGCTGGCTGGCGTCTGCGGGCTGGCGAGCCAGCGGCGACCTGGCTGGCGACTACTGGCGGTTGCTGGCTGGCGAGCTAGCGGCGAGCTGGCTGGCGAGCGCTGGCAGTTGCTAGCGGTTGCTGGCTGACGAGTGCTGGCAACGAGCTGGCTGGTGGGTGCTAGCGAGCCTACGAGCTGGCTGGCACTCTAGCTAGTGTGCTTGCTGGCGGCTAGTGTGCTGGCAAGAGCTCTGACTAGTGCGCTGGTTGGCGTACGGAAGGAAACGAACACTGGGGGGGAGGGTGGGGGGGATGATGAAGCGAGGTACGTTTTTTTTTTTTTTTTTTTTTTTTTTGGTACATAACGGGTGGAAGCGTGAGGTGCGGAAAATCTACCCTAGCTCTTTACCATGTAAGAATAACGAGGGAAAAAGTGTGACTAGTAAGGGGAGAG